TGAAAATCATGGTTCTGTGAACTTGGTAACTCGATCTCGAGTGAGGGATGCTTCACTTGATTCGAATCATTCTGGATTCCGTTGCTTTGTGGATGGATCATGGAAAGGAAGAGATAAGTTCTCTGGTACAGGGTGGTTCTGTACATCATCAAATGGAGAGCCACCAACCATGTGTACATCATCAAATTGAGAGCCACCAACCATGGGAGCTGCCAACCTCCGTATAAGTCTATCTCCACTACATACAGAAGTCGAAACGGCCCTTCTCTGGGCGATGAAGTGTATGATTGGTGTAGATAATCAAGAGGTAACGTTCTTTACAGACTATTCTGATCTGGTGGAGATGGTGTCTTCTCCAACCGAATGGCCGGCGTTTTCAGTGTATTTGGAGGAATTTCAAAGCGGCAAGGAAGAGTTCTCATATTCTCTTTATCTTTAATTTTCGTAGTGCTAATGTAAAAGCGGATAATCTGGTATAAAAAGTTCGTTTAAAACCGCTTCATATCATATATGTAAACAATATTCCCCACGAATGACTCTTTTGAGTTTTAGTTAATTTCGGATGATTAAAAAAAAAAAAAGATAACAAGTCCAAGTACTTTAAATAGTAATCTTATTATATAAAGTATGGTTTTCAAAGTTAATAACTCATATGATCGTGACACGTGGCAAATCTATCAATCTTAGATTTTGACACGTGTCAAACAAAACTTTCCTTTCTAAAATAAAAAAAAAAGATAATTGTAAGTAATTATAAATTTAAATAATTTTTAAAAATGTAAAAGATAATTATAAGAATAATTGTAAATAATTAATATTTCTATAAACTATTTGAAAAATGTCCAAAGATAATAATAAGGAAATTATACATTTTTTATAATTAAAAATATATATTTCAATTAAACAAGAAACAAATGAAGCAAATTTATTAAAAAGGAAACATATGTTATTATATAACAAATATGAGATATTTTTGTTCCTCAAAGTTAGTAAATAATAGTATTATGAACCGTTATCAGTCAAAGATTTTATCATGTGTCATGATTTAATTTAAAATTTGATATTATTTATCGCAATTTCCTTTCTAATTAGAAATATGTGATGATATAATTAACCTAATCCTCATTTTATTTATTTGATTTTATTTTTTCAATTAGAAATATGAGAGATAAATATTTTTTTTTCTTTTTTGTAATATTTTTTTACTTAACTGTGTTTTTTTTTTTCCTCAATTATGATTGTAGTATTGTTAGATTGTTTATTTTAATTTCTCATTTCATATTTAAATTATCAAAGATTCATATATTATCGTGTTTATAATTTTTTTTTATTTTTAGTTTACCTGTTGTATATTTAAATTATTTATTTTGGTTTCTACGTTCAGTTTAAATTATATAAGATTTATAATATGTCGTAGTTCTAATGATTTTAGATAGCGACATGTGTCATGATTTATATTACAAATTTACATTATTTATTTCAATTTTATTTTCTAATTAGAAATGTGATGATTTTAAGTAAAGTTTTATATTTTTTATTTGAAATTCTTGAATATGTAAGAACCATATATGCTTCTTCTTTGTTTTTGATATTTTGAATTTAATTATATTATTTCAAAATTGTTTATTTAAATTTCTATGTTCATATTTGAATTATATAAGATTCAAATATCATCGTGCTTATAATTTTTTTTATTTATCAATTTTTATTGATTGATCATAAAAATTGCAATCGAGTATATAGGAATCGAACCCACAACGTTAGTTTGGAAAGCTAAGAGATTTAGTCGATTTATCATCTTTATATTTTTAACGTGTCTAACTAAAAACTACTTTGGTTTCATTCGCCAACTTTGTGATTAATATTTTTAATTTTAATTTTTCATATAAGTATACCATGAGTTATTGCTATGTGATATATCTTTCATTCGAAATAATTTTGAATTAATAATTTTAGTGGTTAAAGAAACAATGCAACAGTGAAAAAGTAAATTTTTTTTTACCTTTGAAAGAAAATTTTTACTTACAACGTTGTTAATTAATTTTTTGTTAAATTTGATTTTAATTTTGAAAAAATTAAACCCGTCTATCGGACGGGTCCTTATCTAGTAACCATATAAAATATTAATTAGAAACTTTTCACGTTAGTAGATGGATATGATGATCTAACATTTAAATTGAAGTTTATTTATTAAATTTTAATAATATAGAATATAATATTTATGTTTTATAATAGTCATAACATATATTATAAACTCAAATAATTTTAAAATTTTAATTTTTCTGCTAGAAAGAATATATATAACTTTTACCTTTGTACTAACATAGATAATTTTCTATTAAGAAAATGCTAAATATATTTCAAAATGAAGACGGCCGACGGTTTCATTTTTGAATTGCAAAGAACTATCTCGATACCAATTACTACAACTGATCAAATGTAATAATTAAGACCAAGTATGTTAAGTAGTAATTTTTAATTAATCATATCAAAAGATTAATTAGAAAATTTTCACGTTAATAGATAGATTTAATGATTAGACTCTGAATTAAAAGTTTTAAAGTTATTATATTTTAATGATATATAAAATTTCTGTTTTAAAATAATTATAAAATTTTGGGAATGTGCATTTAGTCAAGTGGTTAAGTCCACTTGACTCCGCCTTCTCCACCGGAGTTCGACTCCACTAAACCGCGTTACCCCGCGTAATAGAGATTGGCTATAGATCGGGCTTTGTCGATCCAAACATGTCAAAAAAAAAAAAAAAATTGTAACATTTTATGAACTCAAACAATTTTAAAATTCTATTTTTTCTGCTCCGAAAACAAATCGAAGGTAAAGTATTTTTCCATTATACTCAAAAAGAAATTTTGATCTAAAATAATCATGCATTTTGATTTACATAATGGCCCATTTCACCGTTTGCTAATTGCTAACTGCAAATTACTCGAAATTGAGCTAGATTTGTTACTAAGTTCATGAGTCCCTGAACTTATACTCGTCGGTTATTTTCAAGCAAGTGGAGTTCTCAGCCGAAGAACAAATTCAATCGTCCGGTCCGAATAATATTATATGAATAATTTTGAAATATTTTTACTATATACAAATGTTATAAAACAATCTCAAAGATCTATTTAACAACACATAAAATACAAAATTTTGCTTAATTCTATTTTTTAGATATTCGAATTCTAGTATAATGCAAAAGAGTGACGAAAAAAGTTATCTAGATTAATTTAGGTAATTTATCTTGGGATTCCAACTTTTTGTTTATGGGGAGAACTAGTTTAGGGGATCGAGCTGTTGCTCCTCAAATCTCGATGCAAAACAAAAGAAAAAAAAATAGTTTATGCTTTTCTTGTTAATGTCGCAAAATCTTCTTCCTAACAGCTTCTTTATAAACCCTTCCCGTTTAATCATTTGAAGTACATTTACGTATTCCCATTTTTGTTCCCATATATATATGAGTCGAGTCTAAGTCTCGTAGAACATATAATCTTTTGTTTCTTTTTATTTTTCAGTTTTTTTACATCAACCCAATTATTCGTGGGTTTTTGTTTCTGAAAAGTTTTTCGATCAAACATCATCTTCTTCTCAATTTTTGTTTTCAAATCTGAGAGATATATAAAAATGGTTGAGCTCTTGTTTCTACTATCCTTTTTAGTGGAACTACAAAGTAATTGCTTTCATATGAATCTTGAGAGCATAAAAATGAACGAAGGGGTCATGAGTATTATTTCATTACTTTTTAAGAGACCAGTTTCATGGTTATCTTTTCTTGCCCTACCTCTTCTTCACATCGTAGGACTTGGGTTCTCACAAATCCTCCTAACCTCAGCTGCTTTGTTCTTCTCCTCTTTCTTCTTCCCTCTCTCAATCCAAAAACCAAACTCCAAGGTTCAAGATCATAGCCAACAAGATTCTTTAGGACAAAGTGAAGTACCTACGACCACTAATGATATTGTCAAAAATAATGACGAAGACGACGGGACTATCCCTGATGAGGAAAGTCTCATAGAGCTCTCTTTACCAAGTGGTCACTACATTGGACACCACTACAGTACTATGATTGGTAAACAAGATCAAAGGATCATGTACAACAACATACCAGATTTCAGACTTATTCAACTATCAGCCGAGTATGAAGACGATAATCTGATCGAAATCGACATTTCCATCGGATCCATCAAGTGTTCAAGGTTCCAGATCAAAGCTTGATACATCTTTATATCTTTTATGTCACTATGAAGCGTTTAAAATTAATGTCGGATATGTAAAGTAATATTTGCGGTTATTTTTGCACGTCACAAGTGCTCTATGCTTTTTTTTTGTTGTAGATCTCTCCATTCATGGGGTTTTTCTATTGTTATATATTATTAGCTACAATACTCTTCCAATGTTTTAGAATTTCTTTATCTTGCGTACCACACTCTTTGCCTTTTTACTACTGAAATTCTGAACATATTACGTAATTAATTTGCTTGACGTCACGCGGAATAGTATTTGTTTTTATTTGAAATAATTTAGGACCACTATTACTGTTCGACTATGAAGTGAAGTCTAAGATACTCATATGTGTGTAATATGAAGGAAAGAATGTCTAGATCTCCCATATTATTCTTGTGCAGTCATCTTTCCAATGCTACTATAATTTATGTGAGAGTTAGCTAGAAATTTAAATGAAAAAATAATAAATAAATTTAAGAATGTGAATATATAAATAAATAATAATTAACATATTATTTAATTTAACATAATGAACATATATATATATATATATATATATATATATATATATATATATATATATATATATATATTTTAAAATCAAGTAATTATATTTTGGAAAATTAGCTTTTTGATTCAAAGAAATAAAACTTGTGAACTCAAATCGGGTAAAACAATCGACTGGAACATGAACTTCAACAAAATAGAAGTGATACTTCAAGTCAGCCACTAAATCAGATATAAAAGCACAGTGAGATTGGTTCATAATTTGAACTATGAATCAGATTTTATGTTTCGAGCAAAAGAGTTTGTATCCCCAAGTCCCACCACAGTTTGAATTATGAAGTTGATAAAATGAAAACGATCAAAACAAAAAGTTCACCATAGGCCACAACGAAAATGAATAAATGATCTTAAACAAAACCATCAATCAATATTGAGCGGGTAAGAATTTTGCAGCCTAACTTTTAAAGGTCGCACTTCGGTTCCCAGATGCCGGAAAAGCTTGACGCCGTTTTCCTTGACCAAACTCTGACTGCTCCGGTCCAGCCCCCTTCTTCTTCTGACCTGCTGCAACTTCTTTCTTTCCTTGTCTTCCCTTGTGTCCTTCACCAAATTTCACCTCTTTCCTTGCAGCTTCATAATCAAACGGCTCTATGTTTAAAAAATCGGTCTGCTTTTGGGCCTTGTTGCTCTTTTTCATGGACTTAAAGCACTTCTGAAAGTTTGTGGACAACTCTGAGAGAGACATTGGTTCATCTTCAGCCTCAACTTCTTTCTCATCACCATTTTCTAATAGTATAATATCACCTGTCTCGGAACCAGATACTTTGGACTCTGAAACTCTACCAGAAGTACCAACGATCTTTGAGGCTTCTTCTGAATCATCTTTCAACTCTGTCACACCATCTTCCTTGGAAACAGAGGCTTGCATAGTAGTGGACATCTCTTCAGGCTTCCCATAAACCTTCGGAGTTGTTTCAGTAGTTGACTTTGAGTCAGGAACTTTCTCTGTAAACGAATGGAATGATAGGTTTACAGATGATCTTATCTGTTCGAGCTTCACATCTTCCTTCACCTGAAAACATTTTTATCAATCATTCTGCAACCAAAACCAACTATAGAGTTTTCATATATATAAACTCACCTTCTCATCAGTTCGAGATTTCTTCTTCGAGGCTGCACTTCCCAGCAATGCTCCTAAACCACTGCTCGGTTTCTTAGAGATCCTAACAGCCGCAGAAACCTAATAAATAACAGATATGTCTTTGAGAGTCCAGCATAGATAATAAAGAGCACCAACCAAAAGAAATAACTAGGTGTCACCTTAGCAGAACCAAACAAGCCGGTGCCTAAACCTCTCCCTTCATTAGTATTTGCTGCAACCATATTTAGGTCCCTGGTACTCTCAAGCTGCGAAGAATTTTCCTTCAAACTTGGAGAAGCTACATCTACTGCGTGCATGTCTTTCTTCTCACTAATAGGTTCAATATTCTTATCCATTACCTAAAATTTAAGAAGGCCACATTTAAAATCAACATGAGAATACAGGAAAACAGTTGAAACCAATAAGTAGCACATGCACTCTGAATTTGAGTAATTAAGTGAGGTTTCAGAACTAAAAAATTGGATTCACAATCAGCCCTTGACATTAAATAAATCCAACTCTAGGCTCTCGTTTTCTCTGCAGGTTGAGTAGCAGAGGGTTTTAATATCCTAATAGGCGTTCAACTAGGTTATAAACCTAAACGGAAAGCTTACAATTATGATTATATATACAGTAAGAGACAAGAAAATAAATCAATAAATCATTATCTTACAGTTCCAGGAGACACATCTTTTAAAGATAGAGCGGCAGACTCAAATGCTGCAGAATTTTGTATTGATTGCCTGATGACACTGACCACCGAATCAACATTACGCTCGATATAAGGATGCTTTGACTTCAACATCCTACGCAATTTGCCAACACTAACAGGCATCTCCTTGGCTATTAGGATAGCAACATTACACCACGTTAGGAATTGCCAAAACAAATCCACTCTCTGCCAGATGGTAAGTTGAACTCTCAGCTATACATACCTATTTCAAGGAGAACTTTGTTTGGCAATACATAACCAGTGCTCTCATCCTCTGCACGCGCAATGAAATCCCTCCATTCGCAAAGCCCCTAAGAGAAAGTAAATTTTAAGTTAGCTTTATATAGTATAAGAAAAATCAGAGTAAGTATGCATCATTCATTACATCACACAAGAACAACGTACCGCAACAATGGCAAGTTGAGCTGCATTAAAGCCCGCTGCTTGAAGCCTAACAAAATGCCAGGATGTGAAATATAATACTGGTTTATGTAACTAAGCTTTAGGAAGCCAGCTAATGAAACAACATTAATAGGTTTTATCAATAAACGCATACACCTTGTCTGCTGAAATAAAACAAAACTTAAATATGTAGACTCTCTCAAGAAAAAGCAACAAACCCATATACGTGAAGATATGAATTCTCGGTCAATAGCTCTTTCTCATATAGTTGTGTGCACACATCGTAACTCCGCTTGTAGACCTGTACGAAACAGTAAGACAAAATAGTCAAAAATATTGAAGAAGAAAGAGCATATTCTTCCTGGGCCATATATCCACTGGATGTAACAATATCTAGACAAGCAAAGAAGTTAACGAGTCTACGGAGCTGAATTACCAATTTTAGACACATGAATGCCAATAACCACAATGAGCTTCCAAAATATGTGGTATTAAATTCTTTTTTAACTATGCTTACAAAAGATAATTCAGCCAGAGAACTATTTTGTGCATGACGGATGCCATTGAAACTTATTCTTAAAAAGTATACAATAAGGCAGCTGGTATACAATAAGAACACTGAAATTCCAATTAGCGTAACATAACCCACCAATTATCTAATACTGACCAGTTCCTCCCAAAGTCGCTCTTAAAAAACATAAGAATGTTGCAAATGTGGAGAATCACTTAGGTTAGGAAGCTAATATACTAAGAATACTGAAAATCTAGCCAACCTACGTGATTGGTCACAAATCATTTTCCACAAACAATGTTATGCCATCAAGGTTTTTAAGCCACACAAATTCCGACTTGGCCAGTGTGGGAAACTAACAGAAAGATAGTAAGAACAAAGCACACACAATCAAAGACAATAATACATCTATTATGCAAATACCAACATGCAGAGGAATATTATACTTGTCAGGATAGTTTAATGATGACTACCTCAAGCAGAGGAGAGTCAGTAAGCTCGTCATCCTTTGCCATTCTTTGCAGTTCTAGCCTGATTACATCATATATGTATAAAAGATAGTGGGTATCTTCTCTTGCATATCTGTAGCGAAATTCAAAAATGTGAGCTCAAGTGAACTTAGGCCAGAACAGTAGTGAAAAGACACAGGACAGAAAAGATTGACCTTGTCATTTCCTCTGGAAGGGGTCGAATTCTCCAGTCTGCATTTTGGTATCTACAGCAATAAACAAAACAGAATTGAAAGACGAGTGAGGGACAAGGGTGAAAGAAATCCAGATAGGACTAGTACTCACTCTTTATTTGCAGTAACTCCACAAAAATGCTGCAAAAGAAACTCCAGGCTATTTCTCTCCAAATTTAGGACCCTGGAGGCCTGAAAGAATCAAAATGTTCCTACTTAGGGAAAAAAGGCTAAATATTTAAAATTTCTTTCATGTATGTGCTTCTTGTGTCTTACAAGTTACAACACATATCAGAAGTTACTAAAATTCAGGAGATTGTTGAAATTAGCTGCTATAAGAACAAGTAAAAACCCAGCGTTGTGCAAATTGTTGCCAGTTATCACTTTAATGGTATACTTAACTAAAACATTCTCAAAATATCTTAGTTCAGTGTACTTTGTAACGGAGAAAACTTCTACTTTTTCATTTCCAGGCATAGAGGTAAAGAGAGAAAGAAAGCGGGATACTAAATTCAAAAGTAATATGTTGCCATCATTCTTCTTCCATAAAGCAAATGGTGTATGTTATGGAAACTGGATCTCCTATGTTTTACAGGAAATATTATGGGAAAAAATAGGATATCATCACTGAAACAAAATCAAACCTGTCCTGTGTCAAAGAGATTGCAGACATATATGCTGAAGTCCCGTTGAAGCCAGATAATATCTCGATCTGCTCCATGCATTATCTAATTAAATAAACAGATTTCAGAGTACAGAACATATATTTCAGACCTTTTGTAAAGGAAATTAAAGTATCCCAGGAAAAACCTTTTTCTTTTTAGGGTCTTTGAATATCTCCCTTAGATAAGGACCAATGTGAATACGAAGCTTAAATGTATCAACTATATAATCCTCTGTTCTGGTGGAAATTTGCATCAAGCATGTCAATCCTTGAAAAGATCGATACTGATTATGCTCCAGATCAACCTAAGCAGAGCAAAACGAGAAAACTTAGGGATAGAATTTTAGGTAACGCAACAACAGAAACTTATATTGGTAGTTCAGTATTATTCTCAAGAAACTCTGTAAAAGTGTATGACCAAGTAACAATCCATTACATAATAATGATAGAATCATCACATTTCTTACTACTTCTACCAAGAGACATTATGATCAAACAATTCACTGCAGTCTGCACATTGGACTACTAAGGACAATCAGAAAAGAAATTTACCGCAAACTCTTCAACACCACGCAGTTTAGCAACTAATTCTTTTAGATCTTTCACTTCCTGAACAAACTTGAATGGAGTCTCTTCGAGTGGAAGGGGCTTAACAGGTTCCATCTCGTTTAAATCTTTGTCAACGAAGTCAAGCACTGAAAGTTTCTCCTGCATAGTATTATAAACATATAAAAAGAGAGAAAAATGCCAAGGAAAGGCCAAATGCCGACAGCCAAACATTAACCCTAAGAGAGTTAAGAGCAAATCTTATCCCGAGCCACCTTTTCATCAATACAAACCGTAAGCTTACAGATTCTAGAGTCTTAATGAGGCAGTTAAGAACACATATAATGCTAACCAAACTACACTCAAATATTGGCAGCACAGGGCACAGGTATTTTCATATAAATTCTTCACTACACTCAAATAAAAATTCTCTCATTCTACATTATATTGGCAGCATCCTCCCTAAATTGAGCCAATTTTCATAAAAAGTCTAACTCTTTACAGAGTTCAAACCATAGTTCCAAAACATCTACACACTAACCAGTGGATGCATGGCCCGCTGATCGTCCTCGCTCCTCTCCAACCAAACATGCTCAAACGGTTGATTAGCGTTGTTCACCAGTATGTTATACTCCTCTTGAGGCTTCTTTATGGTTGGTACATGGAAAGGAACTTTGGCCTTACCAGATGAATTCTTATCCCTCTCAGCCATCTTAACATCAATCACGGAACCACCGTTAGCCACCGAGCCAGTAATCACATTACCGACGGGCTTTTTCTTCTTCCCATAAACCATCTGAAACCCATCATCCCCATTATAAGCCACAGGCCGACCAATTTCCTCTTCTTTCTTCCGAATCCTCTGAAACTCATCAACAGAAACATCAAATCTCTCGATAAATTCATCATTTACATTACAAAGCCAATCCTCCGCATCAACTTCATCAACATCGCCAGGAAACTTCATCGATTTCCCCCAAACTTGCTCGGAATCACCGATCGTCTCGAGAACTGATTGCGAGCTTCCAGCTATATCATCGATTGGTCGTTTGAACTCATCGAAATTGTAGTAAAAATGAAAATCTCTACTCGACGGAATCAGACGAGAAGAAGATGAGAGTTTCGAGAGAGTCGAAGAGAAAGCACCATCGACTATTGCCTCGAGAGACTTTACCTTCCACGAAACCGGTGATTCGTCAACGTCCATGGTACCATCGCTCATTCTCGGCTAGAGAAAAGAGAGATCAAATCAGAAAATTGTGATTTTAGGGTATCTCTTGGCTTGGCTAGGGTTTTAGGAACACCATTGAAAGATTGTACTGTGGAGCTATTTTATTACTAGGGTAAGAACGTAATAATCCGGTATTTTATTTAGATTTTAGAATAATCCGGTATTTGATTGAGTAATTTGCAAATAGTGTATAACCTACAAAAATTTATAAATTAAGTAAATAACCAATAATAAAATTCTATAATCGATTATCATTTCAAAATTTTATAAATTCACTTATTTCTATTATCATTTCAAAAATTTATTTTCTGTGGATAAATGTATACCGATTATTATTTTTTATTTTTTTTGTCATCCGAAATTAATTAGAGCTCAAAAGAGTCATTCCTGTGGAATGTTGTTTACAAATGTGATATGAAGCGGTTCTGTACGAATTTTTCGTGCCAGATGATCCGCTTTTACATTAGCATTGCGAGAAATTAAAGATAAAGAGAATGATGAGAATTCTTCCTTGTCGCTCTGAAATTCCTCCAAGTACACTGAAAACGCCGGCCATTCGGTTGGAGAAGACACCATCTTAACCAGATCAGAACAGTCTGTAAGGAACTCTACCTCTTGATTATCTGCACCTATCATACACTTCATCGCCCAGAGAAGGGCCTCGAACTCGGTATGTAATGGAGATAAACTTCGATGGAGATTTGCAGCTCCCATGGTTTGCGGCTCTCCGTTTGATGATGTACAGAACCATCCTGTACCGGAGAACTTATCACTTTCTTTCCACGATCCATCTACAAAGCAACGGTATCCTGAATAATTCGAGTCAAGTGAAGTATTCCCCACTCGAGACCGATTTACCAATTCCACAGTACCATTAGTTTCATGATGAAGCTCAATTTGGGCAGACTGCCACAATTGTGCTTCTGTTTCCGCTAACCGTAATACCTCTAACGGATCTTTATCAATATTTTCAAATATTTTTTCATTCCTTGCTTTCCATATATACCAGATAATCCATGGAAAGGCTGAAGAGTCAAAGTCCGAAGGTATTCTCCAAAATAAATGGTCTAAATTCGCAAAATAGACTCCGTTGGAAAATTTCCCATTGCTGTAGGAATCTGAGAGAGTGCCCAAACCTGTCGTGCCGGGTGGCACTGAAAGAGTGTATGATTGATTGTTTCCACTGGTTCGCCACATCTGGCACAACCTGTATCACAATCAATTCCTCTTCTCCGTAAATTTTCCGTAACTGGTACACAACCCGTTAAAATTTGCCATAAGAAATGACGTATCTTAGGTGGACAATGCACTTGCCAAGAATGTGCTTTTAACGGTTTGATGTCTGGACCAATCAATGAGAAATTTGTCTCCAAATTTCCTAACCGTGCGGTATGATATCCTGATTTGACTGTATATTTTCCGGATTTTGTAAAATGCCAACCCAGTGTATCCTCCTTAGTTGGCACACCCACAGGTAGGGCACTTATGATGGCGATATCTTCTGGATCAAAGATCTCCTTTAGGAGAGCAATATTCCAAAAATTCGACCGACTATCTATAAGATTGTTTACTTTTAACAATGGGTCAACAAGTGAACCATTACTCTTTGCTGGTCTCGGGAATTGAGCTGGAATCCAGGGATCCTCCCAAACTGAGATGGATGTCCCCGATCCGACCCTTTTAATAAGTTCTTTATTAACCAGAGATCTAGCTGAACAGATACTACGCCATCCATATGATGGGGAGTATGATTTAATATTTTCCAAGGGATTAGATTTCCGAAAATACCGCCCTTTAAACACCTTCGCAAAAAGGGAATCTGGAACCGTAATCAACCGCCATAATTGTTTAGCTAATAGGGCTGAATTAAAATCGTCTACATGCCGAAAGCCTAACCCTCCTTCCGATTTACTATTGCACAACTTGTTCCAAGCCATCCAGTGCATACCTCTGGAATCTCCATTTGAACTCCACCAAAATTTAGCAACCGCACTAGTAAGTTTAGAAGTGATTGTTTTCGGTAGTCTGAAATACGACATAACATAAGTTGGTAGTGCTGCAGCTACCGATTTAATCATCACTTCTTTCCCACCTTTCGATAAAAATTTTGCCGACCATCCGTTAATTCTTGTTTGCAATCTATCTCTGACAAAAGAGAAAAATTTTGTTTTAGATCCACCCAAACTCTCTGGCAGACCAAGATAAGAACCCATCCCACCGATATTAGTGATTCCCAAGGTAGATTTGATTTCCTCCTTAATATCCTCATCTACCTTATGTCCAAACTGAATCGAGGATTTTAAAAAATTAATATGCTGTCCGGAGACCGCTTCATACTTCTTTAAAATCTCCAATATTACCTCAGATTGGTCCTTATTTGCCTTACAAAAGAATAAGCTATCATCCGCAAATAACAGATGTGAAACCGAAGGGCTTGCATTTGCTATCTTAATACCCGTAATTAGTTTTTCCCTTTCTGCTTTCCGAATATTCGCAATTAGTACCTCTGTACAAAGGATGAATAAATAAGGAGAAAGCGGGTCTCCTTGTCGTAATCCCCTTTCTGGTACAATTAGTCCTCTAGGTTGCCCATTTAGGAGCACTCTATATTGAACTGTTGTAATGCACCACATTATCCAGGTAATCCATTTCTCACAGAAACCTAATTTTCTTAAAACCTTCTCAACGAAAACCCATTCCACTCTGTCATAAGCTTTACTCATATCAGTTTTAATGGCCATGAATTTTCCTTTACATGTCGGGTTAGTCCTCAACCCATGAAACATCTCTTGAGCAATAAGTATATTATCCGAAATCAATCGTCCTTCGACAAAAGCCGATTGTGTTTCCGAAATCAGTTTTGGTAAAACCGTTTTAAGTCTTTGACAAAGAATCTTCGATATAATTTTATAGCCCACATTGCATAGACTAATAGGCCGTAATTCCGTCATCCGTGTCGGTCTTTCCGTTTTTGGAATCAGACAAATGTTTGTCGTATTTAACCGTTTATCAAAAATTCCATCCTCTAAAAAAGTATTAACCAGAACAAGAAAATCTGATTTAATTGTACTCCAAGCCTTTTGGAAAAATAAGGCTGTCATGCCATCGGGCCCTGGCGATTTTTCCGGATGCATCATAAATAGAGCTGTTCTCACCTCACTCTCCGTAGCAGGTGCCGTTAGAAAATTATTAACCTGATCCGTAATCAGACTTTGAATTTCAGCCAAAGACTCCTCAAAAGCCTCGGGCTTGGTTGTAGTAAATAAATCCTTAAAATAAGAGACTGCTATATTTTGAATATCTTTATCTTCCGCAGACCAAATCCCGTTTGCATCATGCAACCCCGTAATCCGATTCCTTGCTCGCCTCTGTTTTGTTAGAGCATGAAAGTACTTTGAGTTATTATCTCCTAGTTGCATCCAAGAGCACCTACTTTTTTTATACCAGTACAGTTCCTCATCTCGATAAGCTTCTTTCAACCGTAATGTTAATTCCGTAATCTCCTCCCTTGATCTTCTGTCATTTCTCTGTGCCACATATAATTCCGATTTAAGTTCCTCAATTGTTTGCCGCCCGTAAGGAGTTAGTTCTCTCCTCCATTGCGAGATTGCCCGCCTACAGTTATTCAATTTTTCCACGAATTTTCCTGCTCCTGATTCAGATTCCGAATTCCAACCATTTGAAATTGCCTCCATTAAACCATCTTTTCCAATCCATCTCTTATCAAACCTAAAGGCTCGTTTCCCACGCGGTATCTTATCCAATAGCGTAGCTACCACCGGTGAATGGTCGGAAGCAACCATTGGTAAATATTCAACGAAAGAGTTGCAGAATAATTCATGCTAATCTTCATTCGCTAAAGCTCTATCCAAACGACACCGTATACCGATTATCATTTCAAAAAATTTATAAATTCACTTATTTATATCTTATAATCGATTATCATTTGTGATTCAAAAATTTGTAGTTGTTTCTAACACCGCATTTGTGACAAAGATCCACCACTAAACTAAAGTAAATATGGAGAAGAAGCGTTGTTTGAGTGTTCTAGGTCCTTCCCTCACCTTCACTGGAACCCTTGGTCACACCATCACCGGAACCATTGGTAAGCAGCATGTTTGTGGGTTTCCGATCCCTAAGTTTTCATGGTTCCAAATTTCCAAAATTAAAAATAAGAAAAAACTTGGTTTAGAGTTTTTGAACTTCTGGTTGTGAGAGCAGTCTACGTTCAAATGGTAAGCCAATACTTGAGAAACACTGATTTCAACATAGATTTTGTCATGTTTATGTTGAAACCACATAATTTGAAACACTTCTTGATTTCAATTGCTAAAGGTAAACGATTTGATTCGTTGTTTGTCTACACAACAGATCAAGTTTTTTTAGCGTTCACAGAGATGTATGCTCCGTCAATGATCCACCTCACCATTGCTGTGATTGGAGGCATCGTCACCTTAGCACTAAGTTTTTACGATGTGTTTAAGCTCGAAAGGAAAATGAATGTCTTGGAAAATTCCATCTCCAAATCCCATAAATCCTTGATACCCACCATCTCTACCTTAACTAAAAAAATCAAGAAGATGACTGAGTTGCAAACATAAACATCAAAGAAGCAAGAGGTTCTATCCAAGAAACAAAAAGACCAAGCTAAGAAACAAGGTGACGAGATCAAAGAGTTAGCTACGAAGCAAGAAACACTCTCAAAGATACTAACATTTTTGCCTTGGTGGAAGTGGTGGTGGTGAGTTGATTTGGTGGGATTAGGTAAAAATAATTGCATAAAATAATTTTATTGAGATGTAATATTTCATCACAATAACAGATATTTCAAATTTGTTACTCATTACTATAGTCTAAATCATCACAGTTAATGAGTAATAAAAATTTCACTTATCCGTTATAGTGATTAATTAAAGATTTATGTCAAATCAATTATTTTATTACTATTATAACGTCTCAATTTCGTCACTTGTTATTAAAAGATTATACTCTTAAGTCGTCACAAGTGATGTCAAAAAAATCGCAACTATCCATTATAAATACTAACAAATA